TGTCTTGAAAAAGGCAGTTGCTAACAACTGGCTAAATGGGACTACAGAGGTTGTCGGGGACATTAAAAGTCATCGCGCTGAACAGGAAAACTCCTCTACTACACGTATAAACGAACGGAATTTTCTCCAAAATAACGCACCATGGACACATTCCCAAAGAAGGTGGGGGGCAGATTCATCCACAAAAGAGCCCAGTGGATCCTTATCAGGGAACATGTTTTTAAAATAAAAATATGCTTATTTTCTGCATTAATCCAAAAGCCATTGGAAAAATCCTGTTGGCTTTTTGTCAGTGGAACCAGGGTGATGCTAACTTCCGGGTTGGCCTTCAAAAATACGTCGTCCCTGTGACACTCTATTGAAGGAGACCAGCTTAAGACCATTGCTGAGCAGATATTATTTAGGAGGTGGATCTGACACTCACATGGTAGAGTGTGTGGCACTGGTATGAGTGTATCAGGTACAGCAGTGTTGCTGAAGCTTTTTTTTTTTAAACATTATATACACTTTATTAGACACAGCTCCTTTGTTGGAACACCTACCCATCAGAATACTGAATACATGGCTGTTTATTCACTGATGAGCACAGAAGACTTAAAAAAGTATTGTACAAAAATTGTACATGAATTACAGCTAATGGGCCCCCAATAAATACATTTTAACTCATAATTAATGATTAAATTTATTACATTTACTCAGCGTTTGTAAAAGGCTACACATAAAACAAGTGAAATGAAAAAAGCTGACCAAGGACTTTCTCTCAAACAACATTAAGATAAGACTTGGATTTTCCAAAATGCACTCTTACAGATCTGGTGATATCATTTTACCCTGTAAGTAGTGGGATCCTGGCGTTGGTGTAGCGTTGGCGTGTCTTATTCATGATATTCAGTTTGGCTTTGTTTATTGTATTTAGTAACATGAGGCAAGTCTGGGCATGATTATGGTTTGTGCATTGTCCATAATATAATAGCCTAGTACACAAATCCTGTACCTGATTAGATTAGATTAGATGCTTCTTATTTACTTTTGCTGTTGCTGTGCATGTGTTGAACTTTCAATTCTGACTGGTCAGAACTGAAAACAGCAGCTTTGACAATAGTTCCAGCTGCAAGGCAAATCACAGGTTTATATTAAAGCACTCCTTCTAATATGTTGTTTCTACTAACATCTTGCACAGGGACTTGTATGGCAGACACTTAGCATAATCAGATTAAGAAAGCGTGTAATTGTTGATATGGTGATATACTTGTATTTTGTATTAATGGAAGGAATCTTCAGTGTGAGTGCTTTCTAACAGTCAGAGGTAAAGCTGTAGATTTTCTGCTATGGAACATCTTCAGGATGGAGGGTTTTTTTCCATATTAAGGTCAATAAAGAAGAAAAAAGGAGATGTTGGTGAGGGAATGACTGTTTATCAGTTACGTAATAGAGTTATTACGTAATTGATAAACGGAACCAACTTGTCTTGTGGACGTTCCACAACGTTAAATGCAACTGCAAACGAATAAAAAGTATGATGTGCCATTTTTTAATAAATAGAAAAAGGCCAAATTGCTGTTGTTTAAAAGAAAAAGCAGTTATTCCACTAGTCTGTTATGAGGAAATAGCGGTCAATACTAGGGAAGAATATGCATAAATGTGGCATGATTTGAAGTCAGTGTGCTATTTATATTTATATTTATTCAGTATGTGGAATGTGGTGTTGGGCACTTGCTCAGGAAGGTGACTGGTGGTGGTCTTGGCTCTGTCTGGCTGGCAGCAGAAAGAAAGAGAGGGTACCACAGCAGGTCACACAGCAAAGCATGGCAATGTGTGGACATCTTCCTGTTCAGCGTTCCAAACGAAACAGTTTGCTGGTTGGAATCACACTCAGGCCTTGAGGCTATGTATAAAACACGCACAAACTTACCACACCTGCAAAAAAAAGCATTAATGCTGTTATTAACAGAAGAATATGTCTTTCAAATAAGCAAAATAGCACATTTTGTCCATTTTGTATGTTTGCCTTAATGAATATGAAATTAATGCAAAATGTACAGTGTGGTGTCGATGTAAATAGACTCATTTAGCAGCCCTAATGTGATTTACAGCCTTAAATGTACTTCAGGAATGACAGTTGTGTGTGCCAGATAACCACTGCCTAATCATTTCCATAATGATAAGTAAATAAGTCAAAGATACGGTATTATTTTAATGCAGTTACTCATAATCATGTCTCTATATTTCAAAATAGTTAATGTTTCTTGAAATTCTACTTTAATATTACTGTGGTAAAGTTGGTTTCAGGAAAATATTCGCCACTGACATCTTCGTACCTCCAAATTCAACAGTGAGTCGATGAAAAGGTTTTCTTTTACCATATGAACAGAACACACTCAAGTGCACTTCTTTGTGTTAATATTGCATTTTGAACAGATTTTTACTCATCTCATGTCTTTAATCAGTTAATCATGTGATCATCTTTTTATTTTTATCATGTAAATGCTGCTTTTTCAGTCTACTTTATAAATCACTCACAACACACACATTACCTACACACACAACTGATTAGTCTACATATTAACACTCTAAGTATACTGTAAGTTTATATGTTAATATTCAAACACTTCTAGATGATTACACTGGAGGTGCCATGCATTATGCCAAGGGCCAGTTATAAACCATGTTAACTCTGAACTCAGAATTAAAAGTGATGTATAAACATTAATAATGTCCAAGTGAAAATGATTTATGCTTTAATTTTTACTTTTACTTTACTTCTAATTGGAGCTTTCTGTACTTATATTTCACTCTATATTGCTATGGATTATTGCACATAAAAGATTTGCACTTCCTAAAAAAATTATTAAGCCAAAGTTTCAGCCTGGCTTCAGTGGATAATCTCACCTGGATAAAGTAGATTTGTATCTAAGAGCTGCTGCTGTAATCATAAAGACTGTCCTGTGCTCATCTCAGGACTCTGAGACTCAGGACAGGATGGATTCCCTTTGAGTCTCTCAAGGTTTCTTCCTCAGGTCTTATCAGGGAGATTTTCTTGCCACTTGCCACCTCTGGCTTTCTTGTTGGAGATCTAAATCTACATCCAGATTTCTGCAAACCTGCTTTGTGAGAATGTCAATTGGTAAAATTGCTATTACAAATAAAATTACATTGAGAACATCACACTTTACTAAAAACGCTCTTTCCATAAAACATTTCTGACTACACACTGAACATGCTTAGTGCTCTCGCTGTGTCGTGTTCAGCAAACTGAAGGACGTAGATGTGCACTAATTGGAGCCTGGGGATGTCAAGGGCTCGCTCCTTTCAATTATTCAGTTTGGTTTGTCCATGCAAGAAAAAAAAAAAACGTGCTGAAAAAGATGATGATTCATTTCTTTAATTTTGGCTCTAGGTCAATTTAAGTATACATATTATACATACACAAATACAAATGGGTGTATTTTATTTTGAAATGTTATTCTAAAGAAGTGGATCAGTTGAGATTGCACTGGCCTAAACACATTCCTAAATCCTAAAAAATGACCTGGAATATCAACAAATCTGTGTGCTTTAACATCTGGCCCTGTGAGAAAGCATGCACAGTTTATTATTAGCACCAGCTCCAGGGATTTCTCTTGGTAGTCAAAGGAATAAAGTCACCATTCAGAGCCAAATCTTCCATGTCAACGATGATGGTTTGTGAAATGTAGAATCTCCCTCAAATGCAAATGTCTTTAAAGGTTTATCAAGGATTGTGAAAGAAATCGGATTGAACATGTAAGAGCATGAGCAGAATTTGTATCTATTTATGCCTTTATCTTTATCAACTTTATCTTACATTCAATATACTGCACATTATAGTGAAAACGCCATTTTTTTTTTTATTAACATGCTGGTCGTGGTGGAATCAAAGCACATGCTTGTTTGAGCTCATGGGTTGAATGTAAAGGGCTTTTTGTGTGTCTTTGACATTAATAGGAGCTCGATTTCACCATCACACTCATTTCCAATTCTCTGAATTAAATGCATCTCTGTTCTGTTCATGCCACTTTCTTAAAATCTCCAGGAGACACAGTACAACTACTGTCCTGCTCCTACTAGTCAGTGCATTCTAGCCTGTTTCATCTCATTTACTGTATGTAAAATGGTGTCCTTGGCCTGGAAAGGAGTATGAGCAGCATTAGTTCACTTCTTTGGCAGGCTGAGATTAAACGGCATAATCCTACTGATTTTGGCAGCAGACGTCCAGCTGGAGTAGCCTCAAATCCCTCAGGGCCTGAAGTGCAGGATCTCTTAAAGGATCTCTTAGATCCGGGAAATGGAGGCTGTCTGTATTTCTTTCAACAGCTCCTGCTCAGGAGTCTGAATTTCTCTTTGTCAGTTCTTGATCATTCTGATTTGTCCATTAATCGCTTTTAGTTTGCACAATACGTTCAGTAGTTACTTGGCTCATTTGCTAATCAGTAGGTTTTATTTGTGAGGCATGACGTGGGGGAAAATCCACATGTGCTAATGTTTCTGTTGATTGCCTTCTTTCACAAACTCTCTATATCGCCCTGGGCTGCAGTTTTAAATGGCCAACCTGTTTTTTTTTTATCATGTGCGGCTCTTGGCAAAGGATTAGGTTTCAGTGCGCAAAGAAACTAGTAGTTATGTAAGGAATAAAATTTGACACTGTTACAGAAAAATAACCCACAATGTGGTGGTGTGATACGGCTCAATGCGAATAACCCTGAAATGAATTATTTTTCTATAATAGCATGACATGAGCATTAATATAAACCTGTGATTTGAATTACAGCTGGAACTACTGTCAGAGCTGCTGCTGTTGTTGTTGTTCTTTTTTCGGTTGCTCCCCTTAGAGCTCACCATAATGGATCATCGGTCTGCATATTTGATTTGGCACAGTTTTTATGCCGGATACCCTTCCTGTCGCAACCCTTGCCAATTTTATCCGGGCTTGGGACCGGCACTGGGAGTGCACTGTCTTATGCAACCCCAGGGGCTGGGGTCGGTTCCCTGGCCGGGAATCGAACCCAGGCTATGGCGGTGAGCGTGCCGTGGCCTAACCACTCGTCCTCCAGGGACCTTCTGCCAGTGCTGCTGTTATGGAAAGTTAATCAACACATATTTGCTCGAATGGCTTGTTATTCAGAATGGTTTGTAGTCATTACATTTAGTGATGCACCAAAATTTCAGCCACCAGACAACTTTTTGAGTAAAAAAGTTTTGCCCAAGAGCTTTTCCTCTACAGGTTTGCCAGAGCACCTGAAAGCACAGCATCCTGGCTCATATGCAGATTATATATAACAGTTGTATATTTTTTATTTGTTTTATTTATTGTCAGAATAACATCATTTACATCATTTGGCAGACACCCTTTTCCAGAATGACTTAGCGAAGTGCTTTGTAGGCTTTGTAGTCAGAAACACATCCTCATGCTAGTACAAAAAGGTCAGAGTTTGAGAATCTGATTGAGCTGAAATCCTCTTAAAGGAATAACAAAACCTGGTGAAGAAGTAGGTTGTCATTTGGAGATAACCTTTTTGGTTTTGTCTTGCATTCATGCATCAGCAGTTACACTGAAATTAGTAACATCTAGCACTGTAGCACTGTGACTGTGAATAGTGACATGAGAGGATAAAGATCTTGATTTTGCATTCCAAATTTGCTCTAGAATGATCAGAGGCATGCTTTTTACATTTTATGCCTTGTAGTGAGATGTTCAGTAATGTGATTGAACCACTGATATGAACCATAGGCAATGATAGAGCTAACAGAAAAAAGGGAAGAGACTTATAAGTGCCTCTTATTAGCAACGGAGCTTAGAGATAGAGGACAGGCTTGTGGAACTCTGACAATGCATGAGTGCCTTTATTATTAAAACCAGAAGAGGGCTGAATACAACTTAGAGTTGTGCTTTTATGGGAAAATAATCAATGACAGAGTGGTATGATGCACTCGGTGTGTATATTAATCTGTTTATTATTAGCTTAGATTATGTACAGTGTACGTCTTATAAACCCCTGTTAATGAACTGTTACTATAGAAGCTAAAGTATATTATTATTATTATTGTATTATTATTGTATTATTATTGTATTGACCACATTAAAATAAACATGTGGTTTGAATTACAGCTGGAAATACAGTCAGAGCTCCTGTTACAGAAAATTAATCAACACCTTCTGAACAATCAGCTTTGAGAATTCAACAGCACTGTGGTATAAGAGAAGATTATGCTTCTTGTTTGTGTATATAAAAAGTACAAACAAGAAGTGCTAAAGATCTTTCTTTTTTTGTCACATGATAATGAGGTTTTCCCTCACTCTCTCCACATTTGGATTTTCTAGTTCTCTGTATGCAGTGACAAAACCTGTTGTGTTTTTGCTGTTGTATGCATGCTTATAAAAACAAAGCCCACTCTTTTTGTGAAAGGCGTGTTGTGTACACACAGCTTTAGAAACTGGTGTGTGTTTAGGTCTCCTTCTTCTGCCAGATCAAAATCCAGCCCTATTGTTGCACTCGGCTGCTCACTTCATAAACAGGAAGTCAAAACTCTAACTGAGAGCAGAGATCTCTTAGTGAAATTAGCGCGCACGCACACACATACACAAGAAAGATGGGTAATGCAGTGAGATGTAATAGAAAGATAGACCCTCTGAACAGGCCCGAAACAGGAACAGAGAGAGAGAGAGAGAGAGAGAGGGAGAGAGAGGAGGGGGAAGAGATGGTTTTCATGGTATTATATTACAGTTTCTTACTAGGCTTACTAAAGAAAAAAAAAACTTAAAACCATTCTTCCTGCAGACACAGCGATGATCTTTCCTGAGCCCAAACCCAAAATCTGGAATGCGCTCCTTTTTATCTTTCCATATATCACATGGATTTTAGGGGAAATCCAAATTCTCAGCAATCACACACTTTCAAAACCTGCCTGAATCATTTCACCAGCCTGAATAGAGGAAATGGCATCTTATTATGATTGGGAGCATTTGTATCATGTCTCTGTTTTCTCTCTAGCTAGCTTCATTGTTCTGCTATGATAAACAGTATTTGTTGTCCAAGAGACGCCACCGTGTGACTCGACATTAATAAATAAACGGAGAGGGAAACAATACAGACAGGGCCGTGAGAATGGCATCTGGCTGCTCTGCCTCCTTGAATGTGATCATGTCTCTTGCCAAGGACTGATATTCTCACAAAGGACGGCAGTCTGGACTGAGGAAGTGTCTCCTGCAAGGTCACTCAGCCATGAAGATAGATGGCAGGTTTGGTACAGTTCATCTCATCAAACCTTTAGGAGAAACTCCTTTCTGGAGTTTTGTACACAGTTACGGATCAGTCTCATCCACGTTGTATTCCCGCTTCGCCACTAGTGTTCCCAGGATGGGCTCTGGATCCACCTTGATTTTGCCCAGGATAAAGATCTGAAGTTGAATGAATGAGTGAGTTATGTGTTATGACCATAATGTGTGCAGTGTATTTACTATCACCCTTTTATATATGGGTCATGTTTAATAATGTAAACAGCTGTTATAAGAAACTAAAACAAGACCCTTAGCCTTACTGGATGTGATTTCAGTTTCCTGCCCATACTACATTGTTCTGTTGCGAGTTGTAAATATAGAAATCAATATGGATGTCGAGCCCAGAGGCCTGGGTAATGAGACTGAATGGGGGTTGGGCAAAGGTTAGCTTTAGATAATGAGAACAATTGGTTTGTGTTTTTGCAGTCTTTACAGAATACATCATGCTCCTAATATGTTAGGGGTGTAATGCAATGCCACTATTTGTACCTGTATCTGTATCTGTTTAGTGCTTCAAAAATCCATATTTACATTTGTATTTGGATATAAACCCGAAGTGGTTGTAGTTTAGTTGGTTCTATTTCCCAAAATATAAACAAACTAGTAGCCTAATTTAAACTTGTCTTTCTTTGTCCCATGAGGTACAAATCTAATGCTCACTCATGCCCACATGAAAGTGTGCAAATATTTGGTTGCCTACCCCAAGATGCCAATCTCAACACACACCTCTAGTATCAACCAGATGCTCCGTGAACCTTAAAAAATATATTATGTGTTAATTCCAAACAGTGTATCTGCATTTGGTTACATCACTATGATATGGACATGTAGTAAAGACAAAGACTAAACCACTTAGAAAGAGAGAGAGAGAGAGAGAGTGTGTGTGTGTGTATGTGTGTGTGTGTGTGTGTCTGAGCTGACCTTAGCATGATAATCTAATCCATGTTGAGAGGGAGAGCTTTTTTAGAGAGCAAGTTAATACCATCAGATTATAGTCCAGCCCCAAACCAGAGCAAGCCACTGTGCAACAGTTACATTCTGAGACAATGAGGACAGCTAAGACAAAAATGGATAAGTTGATAAAAAAAAAAAATGTCAGTTTATTGCAGTCTACTTATGCCAACCCAAGGGCTTCTAATAAGCTTACTGAACATGTACACTTTTACCTACTCCTACAGTGAGGATTTAACCAGAACACTTGTGAATATTATCTAACATCTGCAGAGATGAGGGAAAGAGATGTCTCTCTTCTGCAGAAAACGTCTGCACATATACATGTAGTGGTCAGGGTGGACATATCAGAAAATTATTAGCTAACTCACCAGGCAAATAAAATCTCTAGCATGCTGCCCAGTCCTGTGTTATGGTTGCCCAGAAACTTAACTGACTAGAGTAAAAAGTGGTAGTTAACGAAATGCAGTGTAGAAACATGTGGCAAGTTTGCTAGTTAAATGCATTAATACAGACTAATGGAAACAAAAAGGTTTTGTTATTGTTATCCTCTTCTAACAAAGTTTCTAATGTAGCACACTGTGTTGGTGCCCTTGACAAAAAAGTCAGCAAGTCGTTGGCTATCTCCACTACAAGCCATGATGTCTTATCCTCACACCACATGTAAAAGATTTTTACCCGAGTCCAGCTCGTGTCTTTATTTTCTCGCAATATGTTTAACTGCAAGGTAGTAAGCAGGAGATTTTTTACTCTCTGATTTATCAAGAGATAACTCTAGTATCTTTGCATATACAGTATATTAGAGTAACATTGGTTTATATGCTTAGTATAAGTCTATGTAATTGTTATTGGTTTTGATGAGCTGTGAAAGCAAATGGTTTTCTTACCTTGTCTGTTATGTGGTTTTGAATTAATATTGAAAACTGGAAAAGAATGTGGAAATGAACACTTGAGTTTGACTTTCCCAGTCATATAACCATCTTTATTTTGAACCTGAAGCAAGAAGAATAAACCCATACTTCTCTGTCTAATTATCTTCAAATGCTCTTCTTTTGTCTTCAATGTTTTTTTTTTTGTACAACTTATTTTGTCACTTCACTAATCAGCCCATGGAGATAAAATCTGTGAAACTTCTTCCTGTCTGATTTAATGTCTCTAGCCTTGTGACTAGTGTCTGGTCTGATGAGCTGGCATCAGCTAAATAATTTACTACATGTGACTACATGTGATTGGATAAGCCACAAGAGAGGATCTGCTACAGAAGCTGAGCTGGTTCATGTTCAGAAATCTGGAGTCACTAATCTGCAGCCTTTTTTTCATATATTGATCACTCTACTACAATATTTTTCAGTTCAGACCACTGAAATCTTTTCCTTTGTTCACATCCAATGACCCCTAGGCTGGAAGGTAGTGGCCTTGACTACGAGTCAGATATAAAGCAAACATTTGGTGATTCTTTTAAATAACACGTGGGCTATGGTATCCTTTATGAATCACTGTTTTGGTGCAATCTAGTGGCCTCTCAGTTGTTAGAGGCTTGTTTAATTTCAGATAATGCTGCCAATCAAAACATCTCAATGCCTCAGGCAATTGAGAGGAATAGAATCCTGGCTCATTCATCACACCTTTTGGGGAATTACTCTGGCCTTACCGTAAAAATCTTACAAGAGGACTGATCTTAGGTCACACACTGCCAAACTTTCAGTCACTATGTGAGGAGGGTTTAAAGTGAACTCATAAAGCAGCCTAGATCTTAGATTAGATTTCTGGATTATGACTGATTCAGGACTAGAGAAGTGGCTCTGTACCTGCAGGTCTACATTTAGA